GCTCGAGGGGGTCGAGGGAGGCGGCGGAGGCTGACGCCGGGAAGAAGGCGCGCGGGCCGCTCTCTGGCGTGACGCTCGCGCCGCGCACTCGGCTCCACGGGATCAACAAGATTTTCAAAATGGCGGTTCGGGAAGGAGAGCGGGAATGCGGTGGCCAATCAGGGCTGCGAGCTGGGAGTGGGGCCGCGCGGGGCGGGGGGCGGGGCCGGGCGCCCCGGCGAATGCGGGCCTGTGCCGCCCTGGGCCCTGGAGCCCGGAGTGGGGCGGGAAGAGGGGCGAGAGGGCAAAACTTCGGCGTCGCGTGGAGAGTTTGCCTTTAACCCCCCGCGTCCTGAGTAGGTCGCGCTGGCGCATAGGGGCGTCTTTATGCATTATGCTTTCGAATAGTATTGTAAGGATAGTTTAGTAAATTAGCGTAACCGATCCGTTTTGCCTTACAGTGCTTCTAACTGCGAAGAATTACCTTGGGGATCGTTTATTGTACTTTCGTTTGTGGCAAAGCTATCTCCACAGACCTTTAAGGAAAACGATTTTTTTCAAGGGCTATCATTTTTCGAAGACATATTCTTACGTTTAACTTATCCTTTACTTTTCTACGCACAAAGAATTAATAGAAGGGGGCTGGGGATTTAGCTCAGCGGTAAAAGCGCCTGCCTGGCAAGCGCAAGGTCGTGAGTTCGGTTCCCGGTACCGGAGAAAAACCAAAAAAAAAAAAAGAATTAATAGAAGGGGCATTGTGCCAGCAGTTGGTAAACAATAATGTCTATTTAGGTGTATGGATGAATAAGTATTACGTTTTATTTTGTAGTAGATACTAGCTGTTTACTGGAAGGGCACCCAAGGAAAGAAAAGGGAAATATACCCCAAGGAGGTGATTTTGTTTGTTTGTTTTTTGTCTTTTTGAGACAGGGTCTCACTATGCAGTTCAGGCTGGCCTTGAGCTCACTTTGTAGCCCAGGCTGGTCTCAAAAAACTCCTGCCTCAGCCTCCCAAGTGCTGGAATTATAGGCTTGCGCCAGCACTCCCGCCTGAGGTGATTTTCTTTTAAACAAATCATTACTAGCAGGTCGAGGCCCAGTATTCAGTCTCCTGAAAGGGGCGTGGGGACGTCTGGTGTCATACTCATTACTGGTGATGAATGCAGAAGCAAGTTACAGCTGAGGCAGGAGGATTATTTGAATCCAGCAGTTGGAGATCAGCCTGGGAAACGTACCGAGACTCCACTGGAATGGTAGCTCTCGAATGTGAATCCCAGCTATTTAGGAGGCTTAGGCAGGAGGATCTCGAATGCTAGTCTGGGCAACTTAGACGCTGTGCCAAAATAAAAAGGGTTGAGGGTATAACTCAATGGTAGAGCACCTGTGGGATTGATCTCTAGTATCACATTTAAAAAATATATATATATGTATACGCACACACACACACACGCACATTTTTAAAGACGGTAACATACACATTGCACTTAGCAGCGGTGAATACTGTCACTCCTGAGAAGTACTACTACAGCTGTAAACGTTAATCTGTTGCTTTAGTAGTATTATAGGGGAAGATGAAGTCATGATTCCACATTTTCTTTAACAAGCCGGTTCTAAGGAAGAAATTGAAGTTAAAATCTAGCAGGCATGGTGGCGCACGCCTGTAATCCGAGCACTCGGAGGCTGAGGCAGGAGGATGGTTGCGAGTTTGAGAGCAGCCTGAGCTACAAAGTGAGCTCAAGGCCAGCCTGAACTGTATAGCAAGACCCTGTCTCAAAAAGACCAAAAAAAAAAAAAAAAAGAAGTTAAAATCTATAACTACAAGTCAACAAGAATCTTGTTTTGCAAAATCCTTGATTCTCAAAATCAATTTGTGACTTGGATTGAATTGAAACATGCCTAAGAGCAATTCTGTAATTTGTGCTGAAGAGATTAGACTGTGGCTTTATAGAGAATTCAGTTAAGGTCTGCAAAATGTGTCTGGCATTACTGTTTTTTAAAATAGCCATGGATCTTAGTTTAACGTTTCTCATAGTAGCTCAGGGTTTTTCATTTTGATTCTGTTACATTTTCCCTGTAGCATTCTAAATTAAGGGGTTAAGTATGAAGTGAAGCATCTTGACATTAGTAGGGACCTTATTTTGAATTTTAATTGGGACGTTAACATATCCCAGTTTTGCTATCTTTATTTTTATCTAAATTTAAACTTTTATTTTTATGGACTCTTAAGGCTTTTAATTGGGTTTGTATCAGTTACTCTCTTTGCAGTCATAGCAGTCCAAAATGGTGGCATGTTGGGATAAATGTGGAGATGACTTCGAGGTCCAAGAAAATTTTTTTTTTTAATAAATTTTCTGATGGTTTATTTATTTATTTATTTATTTGGCCAAACTTAGGACATTAAGCTTGCCAGACAGGCACTTGTGCCGCTGAGCTATATCCCCAGCCTAGTCCAAGAAAAACTAATGCAGTGTCTTAGAGCTTTTTCTCTTTGCTGGGACAAAATACCCAACACCATAAGTTAAAGAGGGAAAGGTTTATTTAGCTCACAGTTTGTAGAGATTTCATTCCATAATCAGCTGGTTCCAAGGCACTGTGGCATGGCAGAAGGGCAACAGTTTATGGCTGCAGAAGCTACAGAAGTAACCAGAGCAAAAAACGGGCAGAGCAAGCCTATTTTCCTCCCTTCTATTGTATGCAGGCCACCTGCCCTAGGGTGGGCCTGCTGGCATACTAGAGTGTAAAAAGCAGACCTAGGGCAGGTCCTCTACACCCTAGGGTGTAGAATTGCCACTTAGTTAAGCTTCTAAATTTTTCAAGTTGACACAATGAACCAATCACAAACTCTAGATTCAGCTGCCTTTGAAAAGCCTGCCCCCCAACAACTGTGTGAAGCTTGGGCAGGGGGACATTCAGACACAAAGCATAAATAACATACAGTTATTAGGGTTCCATGAGTTGAAAACATTTTGGATTTGTCTCCCTCATAACAATTTATTTGCTCTAATGGTTATCATAGTTTTAGCAAACAATTTTATTTGATGTAAAATAATTTATTAATTTAATAACCCTTCAAATTGTACAAAGAGAAACATGAGAACAAAATCTGAACTAGTAAACAGTGGGGATCCAGAAAGACTATGTTCTGTTCTTTTCTCTTTTTTTTTTTTTGGCGGGGGTGGGGGGTGGGGGGGGAGCTACTGGGAATTGAACTCATAACCTTGCCCTTGCCAGGCAGGTGCTGTACTGGTGAGCTATATCCCTGGCCTATGCTCTTTTCAATAACTATATTTTGAGATTTTTTTGTTTGTTTGTTTGTTTTTATTCTTTTTTTTCCCCCAGTACTGGGAATAAAATAATGTGTTTGGGCCTAGGGTACACTAGGCAAGTACTCAATGCTGAACTACATCTCCAGTCCTTTTTTAAATTTTGAGATGAGATCTTGCAAAGTTGCCTTGCCTGATCTTAAATTTGAAGTCCTCCTGTCTCAGGCTTCCAGAATAGCTGGTGTTACAGGCATGCACTACCAGACACAGCTTGTTTTATTCTTTTGAAAGAGGAGCAATGTCTGGCATTTTTTTCCTCCCATTTTGAGAATGCTTTGTACCTTGTGTGTATTTTCATCGTGGTTTATTTGGTGATAAAGTCAAGTGCAATACCTGTATTCTGCTCTCCAGTGTAGGGCATGGCACATTAGTAAATATTTTATTTTATTTTATTTTATTTTATTTATTTTTTGGTTTTTCTCCGGTACCGGGAACCGAACTCACGACCTTGCACTTGCCAGGCAGGTGCTTTGCCGCTGAGCTAAATCCCCAGCCCCGTAGTAAATATTTTAAAAGTGAAAAGATTGCATTTCTGCCCACAGTACAGAATTCAAAATATAACACCTAGTTTTTTGGACATCTGTGTAAGTAACTATAGCACAAAGCAGATTGAAGGTTTTAATTCTCAAATTAAGAGAATGATGGAGTCTTGTGATCCTATGTGAGGAAGGTTTCTGCACCAGCCCTACCTGAGAGTATGACATAAAAGCCTGTGCTGAAGCCTGGCATAGTGGTGCATGCCTGTACTCCTAGCACTCAGGAGGTTGAGGCAGGAGGATCATTGTGAGTTTGAGGCCAGCCTGGACTACAAAGTGAGCTCAAGGCCAGCCTGAACTGCATAGCAAGACCCTGTCTCAAAAAGAAAAAAAAAAAAAAACATCCTATGCTATAAAGTCCAAATGGCAATATCTTGTGGGAAATTATTGTATTTTTAATCTTGGAACCATTACTGTATTTGAAACATGTTCCTATAAATGGTGTTAGCTTCTAATAATGAACAATAATTTAGAATGTGAGGAATTCTAGATCTAGTTTATGAATAAACCATCTTGTGCTTAATTTTTATTTTTGGAATAATTTCTGGCTCAAAGAAAAATTGCAAGACTGTACAGTACAACAATGTATTTTTCCTGAACTATTTAAGAATAAGCTGCCAACATTATGCCCCATCCCCAGCATCATTATTTTCTATGAACAAAGACAGTTTCTACAATGCAACTATCAAACTCAGGAAGCTAATATGGATGTATTAATACTATCTAATTCTCAATTATATATTGCACTTTTTTTTTTCTTTGAGACAGGGTCTTGCCATGTAGTTTGCACTGGATTTGAACTCACTATGTAGCCTTGAGCCTATGTGGGCCTCATACTCCCCCAGTCTTCCTACCTCAGCCTCCCGAGTGTTGGAATTGTAGGCATGCATTACCACACCTGGCAACATGTTCCATTTAGTTGTCATGTCTCACATTTCCTCCATTGTAAAACAGTTTTTCACTCCTATTCACAGTTTGAATATTATAAGCCAGTCATTTTATAAAACTTCCCCTTAATTTGGGTTTGTCTGATCTTTTCTTAGTGTTAGATTTAGCTTACTACATTTCTTGGCAGGAATATCACTTCACAAAGTTAGACTGTTGAGGCTATGTTTGGATGTTACCCTAAATACATTCTAAATGCTTCATTTTGAAACAGGAAAAACACAGCTTCAGAAGTCCTGTGTCTTCATTAAAATTTAACTACAAAGAGCTAGTGTTTGATTACTGTCTACTTTGGAAAAGATTTTCCTATTGAAAAGAATTTTATTATTTTTAGATGTGCATTTCTTTAAGTCATTTTATCTATGCTGAATTACAAATTAAGATGTTTGGGATTGTGTAATGATCTTTTTCAGGATACTGAGTAATTGAAGATTTTTAGTAATACCACATTAAACAGAATACAAAAAGTGTGTACATTTTTTGAGCAAATGGTACTTATAAGATTCCAAATTTTGCTTATTTTCATTCTGTTTGCTGTATTGAATTTATGCTGTGTTAAATTCATCAAAAGATAGAGGCAGGCACTGTCTTGGATGCCTGTAATTGTCTGTAGCCCCAGCTACTCAGGATAGTAAGTTCAAGGTCAGCCTGGGCAATTTAGGGAGTCCCTAAGTCACAGTTACAAAGGCTGTGTGGCTGGGGGTGTAGGCAAGTGCAAGTCCCTGGGTTTGATCCCCAGTACTGTCAAAAAGACCTTAGAAGAATGAAAGGCCAAGCCACAGGGTGAGAGAATATTTGCAATACATAAAACTGACAAAGAACTCATGTAGTACATAAAAAGAACATCTACAAATAAAGACAACCTAATGGAAGACAGGAGGAGAATTGAACTTTACCGAAGAACGGCCAGTACATTTATGAATAAAAGGGCTTAACACAATAAGATGTCACTACACACCTGTCAGAAAGGCTGAAAATTTTAAGAGTGAACAGTAGCTAAGTGTTGACCAACTAGTGTTGACCAAAGTGTTTAACAACTAGAATTCTTATACATTGCTGATAAGTGTAAATTGATAAAAAAATTGGAAAACTGATACATATTTAAATTTAATCTACATATAGCCTATTCCCACATACTCACCGAACTGAAATGAATGCAAATGTGGATATAACAGTCATAGCTATGACAGTTTCAGAATCTCAAGGATGTTTTAGAACCGATCACTTTCTGTTTTCCAAGGCATAAAATCCTTGGATTTATATAGAAATTAATGGTTTTTTGTTGTCACTGCTGGTTTGTTTGTGACTTTAACCACTGGACCATTGGCATATAGCCCATTTGCTTTAGTATCTAAACCAAATGGAGCCTATAGCATTAGTTCTCTTGAGTCTTTCTTTGTTTTTATCATATGTGTGTAATTCATGGTGTTGCTCTGGAGTATTTGAGAAAGAAGGATTTGCAAGGACAAGAGCGCATGTTAACAGGTACAGTTTAGAGATGAGGTGAAAATCTGTGAGGGGCTTCATCTTGAGGGTCCTCATCACATAAAACCTTAGTCTGTACACAGCTACCCCCTTGGCCTTTTTTGTTTTGGCAGTACTGGCTGTCCTTCTGCAGTAAGGTCCCCCCACCCCAACCATTTTTAAATTAGTTGCCCAGGCTGAGCTCAAACTTGAGATTCTCCTGCATCAGGCTTCCTGAGTGCTGGGATTATAGATGTGTATCACTGTGTCCAGCAGGTGTGCATCACCAAGCCCAGCATAACTACTGAAATCTAAGCTAACAATATGAATAATTTTGTTGTTGCATGTTGACTTCTTTGCCTTTTATTTTTCCTCTGGGAATGGGTATAGAGAAGCTGTATAATTATGGTTTGTTTTGTTTTGTTTCTGCTTTTTTGATACAGGGTCTCACTATGTAGTTCAGGCTGGATTTGAACTTACTGTGTAGCTCATGCTGGCCTCAAACTCACAGCGATCCTCCTGCCTCAGCTTCCCCAGTGCTGGGATTATAGGATTGTGACACCACGCTTGGCTTTATTAGGTTTATAAAGGAAGGAACAGGGCTTCATTAACCAGTATGGTAAAAACACAAATTAAAATGGATTAAAAATTTAACCAAAATGTAAAAAGCATTCAGATTAATTGAAAGCTTATTTTAAATTGAGAAAAAATAGCCTTGTAAACATCTTTTAGGTTTAAGTATGTTGCTTGACTTAGTAAATTTTAATTTGCTAAACAGTTTTTTTCTTCTCTTAAGCATGGGGGGTAAAGTACCACCTGCTACTCATAAAGCTAAATCAGAAGAAAATACCAAGGTAAGTTTTAATTTCATTTGTGTGTTTAGTGATAAATTACTGTTAGAATTATTTAGGAGCTGTTTTTGCTCTTAAAATACCATTGCCAGTTTTGTCAATATCCCTTGGAAATAAGATAATTTTAAGAGTTGTCTGTCCTTATAAAATTGCTTTGTGTAAACCAAACCTCTGGGAGCTGATTACAAACTGAAAAAGTGGAATAGGGTGCTCATTGTCTTAAGATGTTGTAGTGCCTCGCTCAGTGGCTTGTGACCATACAGTTAAGTGAGCAAGTCAGTGCTTCCCAAGTGTTTCTGTCCTGAGTCTGAGGGATGATTCTGGATATGAATTAGGGTGTTGCTTTAGCATATCGGGCAGAAGGGTAAGTAAAATGAGGTGAAGGTTGCCAGTAGCTAAAGTTTAGAGATGAAAGAAATCTACTTTTAAGAATGCTTGCTTTAGGTTGGACCAGCCTATGTAGTCCTGTACAGAAGGCTGAGACAGGAGGAGCAATTGAGCCCCAGGAGTTTGAGACCATTGTGGCAAAGATAGTGAGACCCTGTCTTAAAAAAAGTCAAACCTAAACAACTTCTCAGTACAGGGACATAATGAACACTCAAGTTGAAAACTTTAAAAGATGTACTGTATAAGACTTAGGAATGGATCCAACTTACAAATGTTCTCCTGGAATGGAACACGGAAGTCCAGGACTTACTGTAGTTTTCATTTCTCTGATTTTCTTTTATACCTGAAAAGTTTTTTTCCCTAAGTTTTTTTTATTAGAAAGCTTGCTATTTTTGTGTATTTTGGACGTTAAAATAGAAGTTACCGCTATGAACAAGTAAAATGAGAAAAGCCACACAGAAGCCCATAAACTACTTACCTGTTTTTATTTATTTATTTTTATTTTTAATTTTTTTGTCTTTTTGAGACAGGGTCTCTAGGGAGTTCACGCGGGTCTTGAGCTCAGTAGCTTAGGCTGGTCTCAAACACACAGTGATCCTCCTGCTTCAGCCTCCCAAGTGCTGGGATTACAGGCGTGTGCGACCATGCCTGGCTAGTTGCCCTTTTTTAGATGTCATTTATCATATTTTTTTCTGAGGCGTTCCCTATTTTCCATTTAATCATTGTGTGGAGACAGAGTTGTTTAATCCATACCTCTGGTGAAAATATCTTTCCATAAAACGTGCTGTTTTAGAATTATAACATGTCTTTTCAATATATGCTAAAGTATCGTTTTGCATGCTTGGTAGGGACTCAGCAATGTTTTATAATAAGGTGGGACTTTGATTTCAATTTTTTTGATTTCAATTTTTAAAAAACAAAGGGAGAAGGAACCTAAATAAATAATTTCTGATATACTTCTACAGTTGAATGGATAGATGCAGGTGAGTTGATAATAGCATACTGCAAGATACACAGCATTGTTCGATGGAAAAGGCAAAGTGCAGAGGTCTCTGCATACATAGAGAGTATCCAGGAATGGGGTACACATGAAACCATACTGGTTACTTTTAGGATGGAAAGAAGTTTGCTTTCCATAATGTGCACTTCTAAATTCTTCAAATTTTTGTTTGTATATTAGTTATTCAAATCCTTACCTGTAATTTCCAAACTGAAAATCTCTTGAAGAGTCAATTTGGCAATAAAACATTACCTGAATGGATGTGAGGCAATTCAGTGTGTCTTTTTTGGAGCTTGTGCTGTTTGGCCTCATACTTTTGGCTCAAGTGATCTTTCTGCCTCAGTCTCCCTAGTGACTGGGATTACAGGCACACCACTATACCAAGCTGTTTATAGTCTGTATTCTATAAATTATGAATGTTCAAACTTTATTTTGCAGAAATCTGTTTGATTGTGAAGAATTAAAGGCTGCATTGTCCATTAAGGTGTTAAATAGTACATGGTATCTACAGAGTGTTCACTTTCTGAAATCTAAAAACTAAGTTCTAAAATGCATTGTCTTAAAGGTTTGGATATAGGACTAACCTGTAATTAAAAAGGAGAAATGAAAAATTACTTTACCAAAATGAACCCGGGGAGCATTAATGACAAGTATAATGTATTTAAAGCTACTCATAAATTTGTAGAAGTTGGTGTGACTGTATTGGATATGTTATTCAACACCAACAGCACTGTGTTTGCCTTCCTTTGCTAGGAAGAAAAAACAGATAGTAAGAAGACGGAGGAAAACGTAAAGACAGATGAGCCATCAAGTGAGGAAAGCGATCTAGGTGAGGAGTTAGTAATTTGTGTTTGATAACTTCATATGATCCTTTTTATGAAATTAACTGTATCAGTACTAGTAAAAATACTAATGAAGTCAGCTGTGGTGGCACATGCCTATAGTCTGGGACGCTGAGGCAGGAAGATTGCCATGAGTTCAAGGCTACCTTGGACTATAGTGAGTGCAAGGCCAGCACTCATTAACTACATAGTGAGACCCTGTCTCAAAAAAAAAAAAAGAAAAAGAAAAAATACTAATGAGCTACAAGCAAAACTCAGTTTTCTAGTAGCTGCATTTTAAAAAGTAAAAGGAAGATGATGAAATAAAATCACTCAGTATATGTATTTTTTTACTTAAACCAGTGAATGATACATTGGTCTAAATATTAACATCCATGTAACAATCATAAATTATACAAAATCCTATTTTTCTCCTGTTTCATATTAACCCTTCAGAATCAAGAGTGTATTCACACATGTGGATTCTCTCAATTTAGACGTTAGATTTTCATTGGAAATAATCCAGATTTCATGACATTTGTGTTTGAAAAAGTTGAGTGACATACCCAAGTTCTAAACATACTTTCTTTTTTTTTTTTTTTTTTTGGAAATAGAGCCTCGCTGTGTAGTTTAGGCTGGCTTTTAACTCACTGTGTAGCCCAGGCTGACTTCAGGCTCCTAGTATTCCTCCTGCCTTAGCCTTCTGAGTGCTGGGGGTATACCACCATGCCCAGCTAAACATACTTTAAAGTTTTCCTAATAACTAATTGGAGTAATAAATTATTTTTCTTCAGTACTTGCGTCCATGCTGACAAAACTGGTTCATATTTAGAAGAATTAATGTTCATACTGTGAGTTTTTAGGCTTAATTAGTAATCAAGGTATAGTAAATGCAAATATACACCAATAATGGGGCAGTCTTTTATGTCACAGAAGCTATTAAAAGCTGAATAAAAATACTTGGAATTTTTCTGATTTAATCAGTTTAATTTTTGTTTTTTTTTTTGTGTTTTTGAGACAGAGTCTCGCTGTGCAGTTCAGGCTGGCCTTGAGCTCACTTTGTAGCCCACGCTGGTCTCGAACTCAATGATCGTCCTGCCTCAGCCTCACAAGTGCTGAGATTATAGGCTTGCACCACCACGCCCCAGCTGTTTGGTTTTTTGAGACAAGATCTCCCTATGTAGTTCAGGCTGGCCTCAAACTCACAATCCTCGTGCTTCAGCCTCCCAAGTGTTGGGATGACAGGTGTGTGCTACCGTACCCAGCAAATCAGTTGATCTTTGATACTGTTAGAAGGGTTGTTTCGGGGGAGGGTTCTTTGCTAATCTTTCCATTTTTTTTCTGAAAGCTCTTTTAGTCATACAGTTTTCATATCTTCAATAGTAATTTTTACCAATGCTCCATCGAAAAGCATTTTATGTACCCAAATCAACCTATTTCATAGTTAGAAAAGCTCTGTTTCTTTTAAAACGGATTAAAAACATATTGTACTCTCTTGAAAGGGTGTGGTTATTTAGTTATAAGTTGATTAAGGGCTGGGCATGATGGCACATGCGTGTGATCCCAGTGCTTGGGAAGCTGAGACTGGAGGATTGCTGTAAATTAGATGCCAGCCTGGGCTACAAAATGAGTTCAAGGCCAGCCTGAACTGCATAGTGAAACCCTGTCTCAAAAAAGACAAAAAAAGGCTGGGGATATAGCTTAGTGGCACCGCTCCTGCCTGGCAAGCACAAGGTCCTGAGTTTGATTCTTAACAATAGCTTATTTGGGTGCTCAGGAGTATAGATTAGTGGTTGGACAAGGCTTGAGGGCTCTAGCTTCAGTCAGTAGCACCCAAAAGCAAAACAAAAAGCACTACATCATGTGTCTTAAATATATGTAGTGTGTGCTAACCATACTTCAATTAAGAAAATTCTTTTGGAGGGATGCTAATTCTGATTTTAGGTGACTAACATTAAAGTGTATTTATATATGTTGTTTTTAACATGAAACTTGCATTATATTTCTTTTTGGTCCTCACCGTTTTGGTTATAATACTAGCCTTGGGATTTTTGTCCATTGTGTATGTGTGTGTCTTTTTGAGACAGGGTCTTGCTGTTTAGTTCAAGCCGGCCTTGGGCTTACTTTGTAGTGCAGGCTGGTCTCGAACTTGTAGCAATCCTCTTGCCTCAGCCTCCTGAGTGCTGGGATTACAGGTGTGTGCCACCACACCAGGCTCCATATTGTTTTTAGAAATGAAAATAACTGTATTAAAAAGTGCTCATTAGTACTAATTGATTGTTACTTTGCTTTACCTGCATAAATAATTTTTTAAAATGACACTGTAGTACATTATTATGTAGGAAAAGTTTATTTGAACTGAATCATTTTGTTGACACTAACTCAGTGGTTTGTTCATGTGTAATAATAGACCGTACATTCTAACATTCCACTACAGTCCATGTTACTGACATGCTGTAACATGACAGTAGTCTTAGAAAAACAGTAAAGGAGCTGGTCGTGGTGGTGCATGTCTGTAATCCCAGCACTTGGGAGGCTGAGGCAGGAGGATCATTGTGAGTTCAAGACCAGCCTTAACTGCATAGTGAGACCCTGTCTCAAAAAGGAAAAAAAAAAAAAAAAGAAAAAGAAAAACAGTAAAGTTGTATTTGATAGTGAAACATTAACAACATGTTAGTATTTAACAGTTAAAATATTCATCTCAATTGCACTATCCATAGTTCATTTTTAATTAGTTTTTGGTAGGGTATAGTGGCATGTGTTTGAAATCTCAGGACTTGGGAGGTTGAAGTAGAAGGATTGCAAATTCAAGGCCAATCTCTGCATTGTAGGGAGTTCAGGGCCAGTCTAGACTACATAGCAAGCCAGGCGTGGTAGTTTACGGCAGTAATCCCAGCACTCGGGAGGCTGAGGCAGGAGGATTGTTGGGAGTTCGAGACCAGCCTGGGCTACAAAGTGAGCTCAAGGCCATCCTGAATTGCACAGCAAGACCCTGTCTCACAAAACCAAAGAAAAAGCATTTATAAATATTTTCATGTACTTTTGTAGTGGCTACTATATATATTATCCAACACAGGTTTTACTATTACTTTCTCAATTTTGGCAGAGATCGACAATGAAGGTGTAATTGAACCAGACACTGATACCCCTCAAGAAATGGGAGATGAAAATGTAGAGGTCAGTTCAGTGACTTATTTTCTGCTTGTTATAAGGCATATGAATCTCCTTGCTTTTGGAATTATTTTATGACGTGATTCTTATAGGAAAAATACTTATTACATTTTTCTCTGATTTAAGACATGTAGCCAAGTGTTTTATTTTGCTACCTAAAATATTTGTGAAAGTTCCCATGTTTTTGTTCTTGTGTCTTTTTGAGACAGGATTTTGCTATGCAGTTCAGGCTAGCTTTGAACTCACTTTGTAGCCCAGGCTGACCTCGAACTCCCTGCCTCAGCCTTTTGAGAGCTGGTATTTTCTAGCAGTATCTGAAATCTGTATTTGTCTTACCTGCTCTTTAAATTTCCCTCTAGCTTGACTATTAAGCTATGGAGTCCACCGATACCTACAGGTAAAATTGCCTCCTAACGGACTGTCTGACATCACATTGTTTTCCGAAATGGCTGCTACAGAGGGCCTTAAAAAGGGTGGAAGTTTGTTCTTGAGAGCCTGGACTTCGAAAAATTACAGTGGTTAGGGATTCTCCAGAGTTGTAGCACATTGATATGTGTACCTTATATCTGGTTTTAAAATAAGGAGGTGGAAATTTAAAATGTCTAAAAAGAATTTGTGGCTGATAAGGAAAAAAGGTTTAGAAAACACTAACTGTGGTAGCAGCTTAAAAGATTTGTTGGTATTCTCTATACTTGATACCATCAGCTTTCATTTTTGCCAGTGTTCTATGAAATAATTATGTTCTCATAGCTTTTAATTTGCATTCTCCTGATTTGTAATGAGTTTGAGCGTACTCTAATATCTTGATTATTCATATGCATTTTTTTAAAAATTAAGTTTATTAGTACATTTATATATACATAATGATTATATTCATCATAAGGTATTCATATGCACTTATAAATTCTTTTCCTCAATTTTTACACTAGGTTGTTTATTTATTTATTTATTTTTTGTCTTTTTGAGACAGGATCTCGCTATGCAGTTCAGGCTGGCTTTGAGCTCACTTTGTAGCCCAGGCTGGTCTCAAACTCGCAAGGATCCTCCTGCCTCAGCCTCCCGAGTGCTGGGATTACAGGCGTGCGCCACCATGCCCGGCTAGGTTGTTTATTTTTTTTGTCCCAGATTTCTAGTTCATTTTACTATTTTGGACTCTAGCAATTTGTTATCTGTCTGTGTTACGTATATCTCTATTTATGGCTTCTCTTCATTTTCTTATGTTGTCTCAATGAACAATATCTTTTTTAATGCAGCTAAATTGTTACATTATATTTATGCTTTTGTTACCTCAAGGATGTAATTGCTGTAATAAATTGCTTTCCCCTTCTAAAAATTTTTTTGTTTGCCTTTTATCTGTAATTTACTTGCAGTAGCATTGTAGCATTTTTTTCTTCACCAATACTGAAATAATGCTGTTTCCATCTATGGCTGGCTCTTTTGGGGGCTCTCTTTGGCTTTTTGTATTTCCATAAAAAAATTTAGAAACAGATTGTTAAGTCTCCTTCAAAATTAGATCCATCTCCTTGACACCCCCCCCATTAAAATTGCAGTCCTAAAGCAAGTAAAGGGGATGGTATAATCTCAAGTTGACATGATTGATCCAGAAAATGTATGCTTGTTTTCTTGATGGGGTTGTTGCAGCTTCAGTGTGTCTAGGTTTGTAATAACTTTATTCTCTTTGGGATTTGTTGAATATCTTAAATTCGAGGGTTGTAGTGTTCTTAGTGCCAGAACATTTTCTTCTATTACCTTTCAAATATTGGATCTTCCCCATTCTCTCTGTTCTCTTATTCTGGAACCTTGATTAGATACGTGTTAACCTTTGTCATTATGAAGCTTTTCTATTTATCATACTGCTTCATGCCAACTGTCTATTCTGTTGGTGATTGAATTGGAATGTTTATGGTTTTCATTTTGATACTTTTGCTTGAAGTCTTGGTTATTTCTAAGTCTATTGCTCTTTACTCATTTTCAAAGTTTGCATTTAGTAAACATATTAAATACTTCATTGGGCTTTGGATAGTCTTACTCTATCTTTCTGCTCTTGCCCATAGTTAGTACCTTGTGTATGTGTGTTTGTGTGGTTGTTTTTTGACATTGTGTTCTTTAGAGCTTCACAGTGGAAAGTTTTTAAAGTCTGGTTAGAAGGTACATTCCTCCAAAAAGGAATATATTTGCTTCTAACAAAGCTCAGAATTGGCACTACTAGCTCAAGGGCCAGTTTAAATTGTTAACATGATATTTTTTATGTGTTTGAATGCGGATTTGTAAATGAACTGGGCTCATGGTTTTGAATTTTTCAGGTGGTATTTTTTTATTTCCGTCTTCTGTATCTGACTGACCTTTTGTGTGGGACGGGTTTACTTTTGATTTATAATTATGTTTACCTGTGTAGACATTAGGAGTTCAGACTTACTTGGGCAATGTCTGATTAGATCGTCTAGTTTCTCTTCATCTGAAGCTATGCTTTGTCTCTAGTGTCCTGCATTTCCCTCAAAGACAAAATTGTGCTAGGTGCTAGGTTTGACACTACTAAAAAGATGAAAGCAGATTGAACTCCTGGCTACCTCACTGAATTTCAGCCATCATTCAGTCTTGTTTGAAGATACTTATATTGACAGAGAAAACATGGCTTGGTTGTTTTTAGATTTGTTCAGGGTATCATGTACACCAGTGATGACGAACCTTTTAGAGAACAAATGCCAAACTGCAGCCCCAAACTCACTTTTTATTGAGTGTGGTGGTGCATGCCCATAATCCCAGCACTGGGAGGCTGAGGCAGGAAGACTGCCACAAGTTTGAGGCCAGACTCAACTACATAGGAGGCCTTGTCTCAAAACAAACAAAACCTACTTATTTATCGCAAAGTATGAACATTGCAGTTAAATCTGAATACTGAGCTTTCAGTTTAGAAATACCAACTCTATATTAATACTTTTGTCTTAAAAACACAATAACATATGTGCCATACGTTCACCACTATTGATATGTTACCATGCTACCAAAGCAGAAGTCTTCATTTGTTTGTTTTGAGGTAAGGTTTTCTTATAAGATTTAGGCTGGCCTTGAACTCATAATGATCCTCCTGATTTAGTGCTGCCAAGTACTAGGATTATAGGTGTGTACCACCACATGTAGCTAGGTCCTTTGTTTGTTTCAGTAATTTTCTAAAATGACCCTAGCTTTGTGTAGAATGTCTTACTAGCTGGTAATATATATATATTTTTTCTTTAAAGAAATTTGAAAAAAAAATTATCAAAGGAGTTGACAAGGAATTAAAAGGAATTTCTTGCATTTATTAAGTAACTTAGAAGTATGTTGAAATATTCACAATCATCTCCTTTCTGTGAACATGTTATTATCAAGGTTCTTGAGTCTTTAGTTCTTAAACAGAATTTTAGGTTTTTCTCCCGTGGAGGTCTTACATGATCTTAGAAACTGTACTTAATAGGTTTATTTTATAGTGTAGCTAACTTTTTGTGCAATGTGTAGGGGTGTGCATGTGTGTGTGTGCATGTGCATGCCAAGCTGCATCCTCAGCCCTGTTTTTTTGTGACAGAGTCTTGCTAAATTCCCCAATTTAGGCTTGAATTTCTTTTTCTTTTTTTTTTTTTTTTTTTTTTTTTTTTTTTTGTTTTTTTTCTCCGGTACCGGGAACCGAACTCACGACCTTGCGCTTGCCAGGCAGGCGCTTTGCCGCTGAGCTAAATCCCCAGCCCCTAGGCTTGAATTTCTAATCCTCCTGCATCAGCCTGTCAGTGCTGGGATTATAGGCATGCATGGCTCTATCCAGCTAGGAACTCTGATTTTTGGCTTTTGTATGTTGCTCTTGTACCCAATTTTATTGAGTTATCTTACTAGATCTAATAACTTGACGTTTGCATTGGATTTTCTAGATAGTTTGTGCCTTTCCTGCCAATTCTTGAACTTGTCAGCTCATTTTCTTGATGAATTGTCCATCCTTTCCACTTAACTGTTTTACACAGTGGTGATGATAAAGTGGATATAGTTGAAGGAATTGCTTCTGAACTTAGCATTTCAGACAAGATGATTGCTGTAAGTTTTTCTTCCAGCTAACCTCTATATAGTCAACATCTTCTATTGGTTTCATCTTGTGTAGGTGCTCAGTTAATTTTCTTTGGGGGGGGTCTTTTTGGGACAGGGTCTCACTCTGCATTTCAGGCTGGTCTTGAACTTACTTTGTACCCCATGATAGCTTCAAATTTGAGACGATTCTCCTGCTTCAGCCTCCTCTGAGTGCTGGAATTACAGGTGTGTGCCACCATGCCTGGTATTCAGTTGGTTTTTATGGAAACGAAGGAATGAGACCATTTTCTTCTGAGGAGTCAAGCTTAAAAGTAATCAGTTGACATCTTTGTGAGGAGGTGGGATTTGATATGCACAGCTATGAGGGAAGTGGTAAAACTACAAACTGCAACAGAACAGAATGCTTTAGTGGAGATAGAATAAAGCAGAGGTCATTGAGGGCAGAGGGGTGAGAATAAAATGTATTTAGTATAAAAGGTTCAAGCTCATTCTGTGTAAATTCTCACGAGTTATTGTAATTATCCTCTTTGCTTTCTGGAGGCAAGTGAACAATAAATGAAAACAAGAGTCCTAACTACCTCCTCCCTAGGAAAGTCCAAATTGCTTTCTCTGCTACTTTTTTTTTTCATTAGTATTATTGTACAGTTTTGGTATACATAATGATCACATTCATCATAGGTAATTTGTACCTGTACGTAATGTATCTTGATTTTTTTTTTGTTTTCTTCATTTCTCTGCTACTTCTAAGATAACTTTATTTCCTGTCAGATAACTGAAGAGATGATGGATCAAGCAAATGAAAAGAAAGGGGCTGCCATTGATGCTCTAAATGATGGTAATTTTTTTCTCTTGGCTACGTATCTATATAGTGTGAATGTTTTCTGTAGCAGTGATTGTTAAACAGTGGGAAAGTTGAAGGGAACTTAAACTTATTATTTGAGTATACCAGAGCAGATAGTGCCCTATTATCCTACCACTTTTCTCATTGATAAAGAGGTAGAAGTCACTGAGTTTCAGTAACCTTTTCTTGGAGCTCAGACAGATCCTGGTGTAACTCACAGCCTCTGCTTTCCTGAGGGTGTCAGTGATGTGAACTCCACTGAGATAGTGTTCGATGAACAACTTGCCAAAGAAGAATGATGACCTGTGAATTGTAGTAATACTCTTGTCAGATGGTATTTCTAGACAGTTTAACACTTTTTAGTTCTTGTATGTTAGATCTTCAGAAAATTCTGTCAGAATGAGAGGATTGATAGTATAATGTATGGTGTTTATTCAGTCCTAATTTATAAACTCAAATGCTGTTACTACTACCAGTGTTATTTAATGTGAACCTCTACAGAGTGGTGTGACTAAAGTGTCACTGAGTTGTAGTTAAATAGATGCCATCACAAGGCTGATTTGCATTTGGACTTCATGCATAGTAGATTTAGAAGATGACTGAAGTTTAGTTTAGGATGAGTTCCGTTTTGTGGTCCAGGTTGGCAAACATGTTTACTTCTTCTTTTGTAATCCTACCACCTTCTTAGTTTAGGTCCTTGCCACTTGCTTATACTGTTTTTGTTGCCATCGCATTGTTTGCCTACCTGAAATGTCTGTTTTCTTTATTGCTTTCTGTTTACCTAGATTATTCATTCATTATACATGAATGATACATTATACATTACTTTGTTGTAACCTGTAATAATTTATATATACGTTTTGAAGATCTACATTTACGGAATGTCAGTTTGCTAGTCATACTCCATATTTCACCTTCCCATCTTTGTTTTCTCCAATAGAGTTCACTGTCTTAGGATGTTCCTTTACTTGTGCTTGTCTACTTAGGTAGTTCTTTGTCTCCTTTTCTTAACTTTAATTCAGACTTATCACTTATTCCCACTTACTCTTCTTCCTAACCAATCCTTTTCTATAATAACCTTAATTTCCCTACCACCTGAGAGCACTGTTTATTCAACATTTACTTAATGCCCTGCATGCCTGACAGTTTTAATATTTTTATGTACATTATTTCACTAGAACTTCATAAAAACCAATTTGTAGATTGAAAACCTGAGGTTTTATTTATTTATTTATTTATTTATTGGCTTTTTTTCGGTACCGGGAATCAAACTCATGACCTCGCGCTTGCCAGGCAGGTGCTGTGCCACTGAGCTAAATCTCCAGCCAAACCGGAGGTTTAAAAAAGGTTATGAGTTGCACAAGATCTTTATTGTCACCTCATTTATGTTTTTGTCACTCATTTTTGGCATACTGCCTTTGTTCTTTTTTTTGTATGTGTGTGTGTTTTTGAGACAGGTTCTCCCTATGCAGTTCAAGCTGGCCTTGAGCTCAGAACTCATAACGATCCTCCAGCCTCAGCCTCCAGAGTACTGGGATTACAGGCATGTACTACCATGCCTGGCTGTATTTTTTTGTTGTAATTGTTTTACCAATATTTAATGATGAAACAAAGCTGCCACTTAATAAGTCATGGTTTTGTTTTGCCGTATCTTCCCAGACTCTATTCATGTGTAAATTCGATCTAGTTCTAATTTTAGAATCTGTACAATTTTTATCATATTTCCTAAGTGATACAACAAGCACCGTAAGCCAGAAATTGTGAACTCAAAGCCCACCTAGAGTTGGCAAGGGTACTTTTACTTGAAGAGGCAGGAGAATAGTTAAAAAGATTGAACTGCATACCAGAATTTGGTTGAATTCCAGGTCTGACACTTAACTATGGCTGCTTTTCCATGACAGCTGTATCTTTGAGCACCTGTGACAGATTATATCATCTGCCAAATATAAAATAAATGTTATACGGCTCTTTCAGAAAGTTTGCCAACTCCTGAAGTAGCTGATCTGGAGGAAGCTTTTATTTGGTTGAGAAGATGCAGATGGGGCATTAGATTTGGAGATGGAATGGACATTTAAGGGTTCAGGTTTTTGGTTTTGGTGTTTTGTTTTCAGTCCTGCTAAGTTGCACAGGCTGGGGTGGAATTTGTGATCCTCCCAGAGTGTTGGAATTACAGACTTGTACCACCACATCTCTTTTTTTCTTTTCTTTTTTGGGATTTTGAGGATCTAGCTGAGGGCCTCTAGCAAGTACTCTACCACTGAGCTATACCCTTACTCCTGGTGCTATTCCTCTTTTACTGGATATAAAGAAGAATGTAAAAGACTTAATTAGATAAAATATTTTATTCATGTTTTTAGCCTCTAAATAGTTGTCAGTAATTTCTGTTTCACTTTAGGTGAACTGCAGAAAGCCATTGACTTGTTCACAGATGCCATCAAGCTGAATCCTCGCTTGGCCATTCTGTACGCCAAGAGAGCCAGGTGAGAACTCTAAACAGAAAAGCACCACCGGATCAATAATTTCTGCTTATTTGTTTAATTGGAATTACATAGTAATTCTACATGTTTAACTGTTTGAAATGGATATTTTTTAATATCAGTCATATTTTTTTAGTGTCTTCATCAAATTGCAGAAGCCAAATGCTGCCATTCGAGATTGTGACAGAGCCATTGAAATAAATCCTGATTCAGCCCAACCGTACAAATGGCGAGGGAAGGCGCACAGGTAAATTAGTGGAGTTTAATTATTTTCAGAACTCTTAAATATATTTTTGCTGATTTATTGTTATTTGTTTAGGTACTGGGATTGAGCCCAGGGACTTTATTTTGAGAAAGGGTCTTGGAAATTTGACCCTAGCAAGTCAGACTTGTGATCCTTTGTCTTAGCCTCCGAGGAGTGCTGGCGTTACAGGCACTTCCAGCTGGCTCATTTTATTTTGTGTTTTGTTTTGCAGTACTAGAGATTGAACCCAAGGAGCAGTGAGCTATATCCTCAGCTCTTAGTATTGGCGAAAATTACTGTTACACAAATGAATATTTGTGCTATAGGGATGAAATATATGTCTTACATGAATTTAAAAGCTGTATACTTCAGGTGTGGCTAGAGATGAAAATAGATACTCTTGGGGACGGCTGTTAGGTGATTCAAGTAACTCTATAGTGATTTTTATAAAGGCTGTCAAAGAGAAAGGTAAGACATTTAAATAAAACTTATTAATGCTGTGTGGGATAGGAAAACCTCAGATGTTTTAGTTCAGCCTTCTGAATTTGCAGTAGTCTTTAAGTGTGCTTTTTGGTTTAAGGTAATATGGGCTTATCTTGAACCTTGCTTGTGATAGACGCCATCGTTTGTTTTAGTGAAAATTTAGGATTTGGGGAGCAGGCTATATTCATGGTATGTTATTGTCATTCCAATGAACAGTGCTAGGGAGAAACTTCTTTCAAATTACAATTTTAATGAAAAAATTCATGAATTTGAACTTGTTGATATTTTCAGTTAAAATTTAGCATTGAATGTGTTCCTTTATGCATTCATACTTTTCACGTGTAGGCAAAAATCTTTGACCTTAATATTTATTTGCATAGTTATATGAAGGAAATTTTATAGTTCCTCATCCTTAGAACATATCCCACTTAAAATAGTTAAAAGAACTTAAAAAGTTACTTGAATTCATTTGTTTGTTGTCCTTATATTATAGTTAGCCTTTTATTTCTGTGTTTAGGTTTGGAGGTTATTTTTGTCTTTTCTGATCAAGTTCTACTGTTTGAATAAATTATCATTTAATTTTTTTGTTTGAAGAGGCAAAACTGAGTTAAAAAGTATGCCCAGAGATCTCTCATTTCCATCACCATCACCTGCGTCCTATTCTTAGCTACTCCTGCTAGTCTTATTTTTGATTTGTTCCCACCCCAATAAAGGGGGCACACATACATTTTTTTTTTTTACTTCTGATTACATAGAAAATAGCATCCTAAGTATATGTCATGTTACTTTTTTTGGTGAGTTGAAATTACTACTCCATGGTGGTGCATACCTATAACATTGCTATGAGTTCAAGGTCAGCCTGAACTACATAGGGAGACCTTGTCTACAAAAACAAGAAAGAAAACAAAAAGAAAATTACTGCTCTTCATACTTTTTTGGTGTTTCAATCTGAGTTAAGAAAATTACATATATTTTTTGAGACTGGGTTTTTCTATTCTAGCCTCACCCTGAACTCATTCCATAGCCCAGGCTGGCATCAAACTCAATGGTGATTGCCCTGTCTAGCCTCCCAGGTGCTGGGGTAACAGGCGTGTGCCACCATGCCTGGCTTACATTTTGTCTTTTTTTTTGTACCAGGAATTGAACTCAGGACCTTGTGCTTGCCAGGCAGGTACTTTGTGCTGCTGAGCTATATCCCCGGTCTTTGTATTTTATCTTTAAAATGGTTTTTTAAATAGGAAAGCAACTTCAGAGTTGCCATTGAGGAAATTTAAACTCCTTCAAGTTTTTATAGAGTTAAACAGCACAGTAACACAGTATTGAGTTGATGGGTGAAATTTTATTAATATGTAACTCAATATCTAGCACAGTTCTTTTTCATCGTGAAGAAAGACATCATGCTACTGGAATGAATGTGTAAAGGACTTTTATAATGAGTTTTTATCTGTTTCAGACTTCTGGGCCATTGGGAAGAAGCAGCCCATGATCTTGCCCTTGCTTGTAAACTGGATTATGATGAGGATGCAAGTGCAATGCTGAAAGAAGTTCAGCCAAGGGTATGTTCATGCAGAGAAGAGGAAAGTCATGGCTCAAGTACCTAGACCCTGGCAGCCATAATTTACTTGAAATAGATGTGAAGATTTAGAAGTTATAATCTAGTCTCCGAAGTTTTTTTCTCTTAAAATCTCTATAGGTTTTTATGCTTTTGTTTCTTGTTTCTCGTGCTGTAGTAGAACATGCTCTCCTACAGTGGAAATAAAACTAGAGCATCAGAAATGGAAAAGGCAGGTTTCAGAGGAAAGAACTAGAAAATCTACAAAATGTGCTTGCTTAGGCAGGACATATTCTAAAATTAGAAAATCTACAAAGGTGACCTATGATCACATCTGGTTTGTCCTTTCTATACCATAGGTGTATACAGTACAACCACTTTAACAAAGCCTGAGGACCTTCTTAAAATTAAGGCACAGGCATGTCTGTAATCCCAGAACTGGGGAGGTTGAGACAGGAGGATGGGGAGTCTGAGGCAGGAAAATTGCTGCAAGTTCAAGGCCAGCCTGAACTGCACAGTGAAACCCTGTCTCAAAAAAAAAAAAAAAAAAAAAAAGATACAGCCTTTTAAAAGGAGACTTATCAGCCAGGTGTGGTGGCGCACACCTGTAATTCCAGCACTTGGGAAGCTGAGCCAGGAGGATCGTAGTGAGTTTGAGGCCACCCTGGGCTACATAGTGAGTTTAAGGCCAGCCTGAACTATGTAGGGAGACCCTGTCTCAAAAACCCAAAATGGGTGGGTGGACAGACGGACGGATGGACAGACTCGACACTAGCAGCTTTTGTCTTAAAAGAGAAGCACAGTAACATGCATGCCATAAGTTCTTCACCACTGATCTAGAATGTTCTAAGATGGTTATAATTCTATTTAGAGTTGTTAAAATAATTTTAATGCATTTGCATGCTTCAGCTTCATGGGTGATTTACAATTTTGAGAAATTACTCCTAAGTTTTTTTTGTTTTTGTTTTTTTTTTGTTTTTTTTTCCCGGTACCGGGAATCGAACTCATGACGTTGCGCTTGTGGAGCAGGCGCTATGCCACTGAGCTAAATCCCCAGCCCCTACTCCTAAGGTTTTGTTTTGTGTTTTGGCAAGGCTGGCGTTTCAAAGGGGCTTGTGAATGCCAGGCAAGCTCTCTATTGTGGATTCCCCCATTTTATGGATGAGGAAATTTAAACTGCAAACGTGTGTGTGTTGCCAATTTCTGCCTTCCCATGGCATACATCACTAATGATAGTAATCAGTAATGACTGACTGTAATTTCTGAATTCCTAACACTACCTAATTGGTAGAAACTACCAGGCAAGAATTATCCTGCAAGCTAAGTGTGGTGGCACACTGCTATAATCCAACACTTGGGAGGCAGAGGCAGGAGAATTGCTGAGTTTGAGGCCAGCCTGCACTACAGCGAGATGCTATCTTGAAAAGAAAAGAGAAAGAGAAAGAATTGTCCTGGAAGCTGGGCATGGTGCATGCCTGTAATCCTAGGGAGGCTGAGGCAGGAGGATCACTGAGTTTGAGGCCAGACTGGGCTATACAGCGAACTCAAGGCCAGTCTGGACTACACAGTGAGACCTTATCTCAAAAAAAAAAAAAAAAAGAATTGCCCTGCAGTTAAGAACCTATTTGTTGTCCTTGAGCTTAGAGAGTTGTTTGAGAGTATAACATTTCTAAGTGTACATCACTCTTTCCTGTTTCACAGTGTCTCATACACTTAATATTGGTTGTGTTAAAGCCTCAGTTTATGTTAGGTCTTTCTCTGTTAATATAAATATGTCATTAAAAAAAAATAACTACAGACTGAATAAACTCTCCACAAAGAAAAGTAACTCTTAACTTGTATTGACTTTATCTAATACAGTACTGTATTTGGAGTGACTTACTTTCTGTGGCTCTTTCCAGGCCCAGAAAATTGCTGAACATCGGAGAAAGTATGAGCGAAAACGTGAAGAACGAGAGATCAAAGAAAGAATAGAAAGGGTTAAGAAGGCTCGAGAGGAGCATGAAAAAGCCCAGAGGGTAATATCTCTTGCCCTTTCTCCCTTCTTCCTTCTCCCCTCTGCTCTCTCTTAGTTTGCAGTGCTGGAGATTGAACCCAGGGCCTTGTGCAGTTATTAGCACCACATTCTAACCAACTGAGCTAACCGGCCACACCTTGTAAATAAATTTTAAATCAGAATTTTTTCAGATACTTAGTATTGTTAAGTGGGGGTTTTTGAGGATGTTTGCCTAGAATTGTTTAGGATTCTTTCTTTCAGTTACAACAGTGGATTCATGGCTGTTAATGAAAGATATTGAGCCTGGTGATTGAGCTCGGTGTGGTGGTGCAGGTCTGTTATCTCAGCCCTTGGGAGGTTGTTGCATTATAAGCAATGGGAGTTTGAGGCCAGCCTGGGCAACATAGTGAGACCCTGTCAAGAAAGAAAGGAGGCACAGACTTCCCTAAACCCACATTATATAATTTATTTCCTGTTTGTTTTAAAGGAAGAAGAAGCCAGACGGCAATCAGGAGCTCAGTATGGCTCTTTTCCAGGTATATACGAAGAAAAAGTAAAACTATTAGTACCTTAAATAATTAAGATATATTCTGATTTTGGAGGCTCAGATGTGCGTTTGTATCTGTGTATAACATACAGATTGGTTTATATACTAACAATATTTAGTTCCATTGTCCCTGGAACACTGAGAATGTTAACATCCAGAGTTTTGTACTAAAAATTTTATGTTATTGGAAATATAATGTATTTTTCTTTAGTTTGAGAGATGTACTTTTTAAATGGTTTCCATTTCATTATTAATTTGTTCTAATATCTATTTCCAAATTGCCAGTATGGAATTATGTTCTATTAAACAGTGGCATTCATGAGGATACCATGTAAAAAATACTACATGGACACTATGTGGAATTATCGAGCATAAAAAGTTTAATGTTCTCCTGGGTGTGGTGGTGCATGCCTGTAATCCTAGCACTTGCTGAGGCAGGATCACTGTGAGTTCAAAGCCAGCCTGGGCTCCCTAAGCAGGTTCAAAGCCAGCCTGCACTGCATAGTGAGACCCTGTCTTAAAAAACACACACAGAAAAACCCCCAACCCCCTTCCCCCATTCTTAAACTAGGCATGATGTTGCACATCTGTAATCCCAGGATTTTGGAGGCTGAGGCAGGAGGATCACCTTGAGTTGGAGGCTAGCATGTGCTACACAGTGAATTCAAGGCTAGCCTGAATTACAGAATATAGACTCTGTCTCAAAAAACCAGTAAATAAATAAAACACACATTCTTCTTTTCCTTGCAAAAGTTGGGATCAGAAATTATTAGCAGGACACCCCTTTGACTTTACCAAGAGACTAGCATGCAGTTATAAGGGGAGGTAACTGACACGAAATAATTGCTGAATACTTCCCAAATGAGGCAGTGTAAAATTTATACAAAGACCAGGAGGACATTCAAAATTTTTTATCTTCTCAACTCTTGCCTCAAGTTAAAATGGGAGATATAACCTTAGGTAATACTTATAGCCAGGTGTGGTGGTACACACTGAAATTCTAGCACTTGAGAGGCTGGGGCAGGAGGATTTCTAAGAGTTCAAGGCCAGCCTGGGATACATATTGTTCAAGACCAGTCCAAACTATGTAGTGTGATCCTGTCTCAAAAAAAAAAAATTTATAGAGGCCATTTATGCTTATATGCTACTGGCTAGAACTTAACTAGTTATTTGGTCCAGAGCTATAAAATGTAAACTTTTTTCTGAAAGATTAATAGTCTCAGTAACTTTTTAAAAATAACAAAATACCTTTTAGCTCATACCTTAGTTTTTTTTTTTTTTCTTTCTTTTTTTGGTACCAGGAATCGAATTCAGGACCTCACGCTGTTAGGCAGGTGCTGTGCTGCTGAGCTATAATCCCTGGCCCTAGCTCATACCTTATGTTTTTAAAATAGCAGGCACTTTTGGTTTGGAAAATGATTACTGAAATGGACTAGGATTCAAGATAATTTTTTTGTTGTATTTTATTGTTAAAAGTTGCTAAGTTTTGGCCCAGTAATTTTTTTATGTTTAAGAACTAATTTTTCAAAGCATCAGCATCATTAGGCACTATAAGAGAGGCTAGAAATTTTCAAGTCTCCTTAGATTTCTTCATGATTATTTTATTGCCATGTTTGAATTACCACTGAGCCAGACAGAATGAGTGTTACATGTGTTTCTTTTTTTTTTTTTTTATGGAGTTATTTGTAGTAATCCTGGCTTTGTAGAATATATTAATGTTACTTGTTTTCCCCTTTAGGGTGCCTCTACATTAGCATAGTAATGATTTCAAAATATTTCCAGTGGGCATATAGTTTATGGTACCAAAGAAACAGATAATACGAGAATATAATTAAAAATAACTGGAAGGAATGAAAATCCTTTTTGTAGGAGAATTGTTCTCTGTAAAGCTCAGTTTCCAGGTGTGCATGTTAAAAGTGCTGATTTCATACCAGGCGTGGTGACGCAGACCTGTAATCCCAGTACTTGGGAAACAGAGGCAAGAGGATCCCTGCCTCAAGTTCAAGGCCAACCTGGGCTACATAGTGAACTCTTAAGGCCACCCTGAAATACACAGCGAGACCCTGTCTCAAAAAAAGTACTGATTTCCATTATTACATTGAGATATTATTTCTGGGCATAAATCAGAAATCCACAGATTTTGGTGACATGTATTAGATAGTTCTGGGGTAATAACTTACATAGATTAATATACACAGAAATGACACCAGTTAACTTTAACTTGGAACGGGCAAATAATATTTAAGAAAGAGGAATGAAGTTAAAAAGATTATTAAGATGCTTTTTAATTTTAAAGCTGAGGGACTGTTGGCTCTTTGATTTTAAGGTAAAGTTAGTTGTAAGTTAGTTTGTATTTTTTAACTGTAATCAGATTAGAATATTCAAATTACTTTGTGTGTACGTGAATGTGTATTTTTAAATTAGAGGAAAACAGTGTATAAGACTTGGAAATACTTGGGAATACGACTGGTGCCGTATGCTTTTTTCTTTTATTCTTGCAGGTGGCTTTCCTGGGGGAATGCCTGGTAATTTCCCAGGAGGGATGCCTGGAATGGGAGCCGGGATGGCAGGAATGCCTGGGCTCAATGAGATTCTTAGTGACCCAGAGGTCCTTGCGGCCATGCAGGTAAGATTGAAGAAGAAAGTTGGACTTCAGTCAACTGAGGCGTGTCTTTCATATTTGTGTTCTGACAAAGGTCACTTAACATTGATTTTCTTTTTGGAGTGAGTAGGTTAAATTTTTAAAAATTGGTTTTAGGAAATAGTATTTGGTAATTATATGCAATTGTTCATTTTTATTATCAGTATTGAATGTCCTTATTTCATTATCTAGTTCTTATGAATTTGACTTTGAGAAGTACACATTAATAGTTATATTTCAGACTGTCTAAACTCCAGTTAATTTTACCAGGACAATTATCGGTCTGAGGAGATTGGATTTAGGATACTACACTTGTTAATATAATGGGACACCTTTTTTTATGGGACACTTTTTTTTTTATGGGACACTTTTTAAAGGCTAAAAAAAAAAATTTCTTTCTTTGCAGGATCCAGAAGTTATGGTGGCCTTCCAGGATGTGGCCCAGAATCCTGCAAATATGTCAAAATATCAGAGTAATCCAAAGGTTATGAATCTCATCAGTAAATTGTCAGCCAAATTTGGAGGTCAAGCATAATGCTCACCTGACAAAGCCCTTCCTAAAAGAAAAGCAACCTAGATCACTTAATGGATGTCGCAATAATACAAACCGGTGTACCTCTGACCTCATCAGGAGAGCTGGGGTGCTTTGAAGATAATCCCTTCCCCTCTGCAACAAATGGAGCTGAAGTGTTTTACAATGGTTTTCCATTAGGGTATTCATTCAGATAATGTTTTCCTACTAGGAATTACAAACTTTAAACAGTCGTGTGTCCCCCCCCCCCCCCGTACTGGGAATTGAACTCAGGGCCTCGTGCTTACCAGGCAGGCACTATGCCACTGAGCTATATCCCAAGCCCCATAAATACTTTTTAAACCTCAAAAAATATTTCAAACACTCAGAGGGTCCTATTAATCCCTAAGTTTTTCTTTATTAGTCATTTTAGATTTTACCTTTGAATTACTGAGCAAGGAAGATACTTATGTATGAAGATTTATAGCTGTAGTATGAGTAAAATAAAGTTCTTTTTGGTGGGAAGCAAATCTCATTTAAGAAGATACAGTTTGAGTTGGATATATGGTTACCAACGTATTTTGATTTGGCTTTTTTTTTTTTAAAGATTTCTGTTTTTTTAAGATGATTTACTTCAGTATAACTATTGGGACCACCAGTATTTGAATATGATCTTGATAGGGACTGGAAATACTGGTAGGGCAGCATCAGTCTTACACAGTGTTTTATATAATATGCACCCTTTAAGCCACAGTGGAGCTCTGTTCTTTTCCAAAATACCAAATAAATATTTCATACTATTTCCACTAGGGAAAATACAGGAATATGTTTCTTTTTACATGTCTGTTCAAAAATCTTTCTTCATAAGAAAATGACCAATTCTGTTTGCTTTCTGCTTATGTTTTCCCCTTTAACCTTCTGGAGCTAAAGGTAGTGTTTGTTTCACTAGTGTCATTACGTTATGACCATTCCCAGTATAATTGTGTAAGCATAATTAATGCTGGGTTTACTTTAGTATATAGTACGTGTCAAGTAATACCTGTAACAGCTGTGGTTTCTTTCCTTGGCCTTGAAATTCCTTATTTGTCATACTTGAGTCTAGAAAAATCTTGTCATATCAAGACATTGGAAAGAGATTCCCTTTGGCAGTTGACCTTTCAGTTAGGAAATACATATTGTAGTTACAGTTTATTCTGAAGTACTCATCTGTGTATTCTGAAGAGTGTATGATTTAGCCTTGCATGGTGGCACATGCCTGTAATCCCAGCACTTGGGAGGCTGAGGCAGGAGGACATTGGGAGTTCAAGACAAGCCTGGGCTACAAAGTGAGCTCAAGCCCAACCTGAACTGCATAGCGAGACCCTGTCTCAAAACAAACAAAAAGACAAAAAAAAAAAAAAAAAAGAATGTATGATTTGAATTAGTTACTACACATATAGGAAGTAACTGCTTGATGCAAGATAAATTATAAAAGAGATGAAAGCCACAGTTACTTGCTATGGAGTTTGCACTATGAAGATTCCTTATCCTATTCAGCTCTTCATTAAATACTGCAAATCGTATGCCCACATCTACTCTCTCCTTTCCCTGCAAGAGTAAAAAAAAAATGTTTCATAATGTATATTTCTAAATTAGTATACTTCTGAAATCATGTTTATTCTAGTTCTATCCCTTTGCTGTACACAAAGAGAAAAATCCATCTCTTACATAAATGAGGAAAAGCTGTGTGCTAATGGAGCATGCTTTCACAATCTCTAGAAACACCCACCATATAATACTTGGAGTTGAGCTTGCCTCTGTGTGTGGTTTTTTTTGTTCGTTTGTGTGTGTTCCGTTTTCTCAACATCTTCAGTGTGTGCTGTGCTTAACTTGAGAAGACCCCTTTGTTCTTGGACTCCTTACTATATATGACCTAACTATATTGATACTGCACATATCACCATAAATGGGTAAACATAAAATTGCTCTTCTGAAAATGTGTCCTGTGCTTCTAGATTTTAAAGTTCCTCAAATACAAAACAGTCTTCATAAAGATTCAGTATCATTTCTAAAACAATGTTTTTGTGCTAATGATGCTAGGAAAAGGAAAAGGCGTTTTCTGCTTAAAAATACAGTTACTGGATATTTCTAGCAACATTAAAAATAAAATATGGTTTCAAACTGGATATTGACTCCCCCCTTTTGTAAGCATTTGTTCTGTTTTATTTCCCTAGAATTCACGTGAAATTATTTCCTGAGCATAGTAAGCTATAGATTATTAAGCCTGTGATCAAGGACAAGTGAACATACATTTACCTAATTTGTATAGGGATGCACTTTGCCTTTTTTTTTGTTTTGCACTGGGTATTCAACCCAGAGCCTCACACATGGTAGGAAGCCTTCTACTGCTGAGCTGTGTATCCCCAGTCCTTTCTTATGTTAGTGTCTTGGTAAGTTGCCCAGTTTGAACTTAAACTTGAGATCTTTCTGCCTGAGGCTTTCAAGCAGTTGGGATTAAGGCATGTACCATCAAGCCAGTAGCTACCCAGAGGTCAGTAGTTCTATCATACTTGACAGGTAGTTGCTGTGTGGGTCCAGAGTTACTGCTTTGGTCCTCATGTAACAACCTGAGGAAGCTGGAGAAGTCAAGGAAACATGCTGAGATCCTGAAGCTAACATTTTTTTTTCTCCTTAATGACATTTAGCTTCTAGGAAAGATGGAAAATAGTCAACAGCTTTGTGGTCATGTGGCCAAAAGGAAGACTTCAGGTATGAACTTAGCAATCTGCCACCCAAGGAAATACTAGCTTTGTAGGGTAAGGGTAGAAATTGGCTAGTACTATACTTGGAGTTAATACACCTGAGCCATGTGGGGTATCAGGAAGCAGTGCTTACCTGTGCTAGCCACTGCTGTAAGCAGTTTGTCGGTACTGACACCATAAGGGTAAGTACTTTTATCACCACTTTAGTATTTTAATGACATGGAAACTGAGCCACTTACTTAAATTGCCTAAATGTGGGGTTTCCAACCCTCGGAACCAGTGGCACAATAGGAGGTAAGCGCAGGTGAGTGAAACTTCATCTGTACAGCACCTACCATTCCTTGCGTTACCTCCTATGCTGTACTGCCTACCGGTGAGTGGTGGCCTTGGATTCTCATGGGAGTGTGATCCCTACTCTGAACAGCTAATGTGAGGTACCGAGGGTATGTGCTCCTTAGGAGAATCTAATGCTTGATGGCTGAAGGTGGACTTGTGAAGCTAGCATTGGGGAGCAGCTGCAAATACAAACTGACAACAGTTTAATAGCACAGAGACCATAATCGTTTGCAGACTTGTGTATCAAAGCGCTATTAGTAGTGACAAACTTTATGGCCACAGGCCTTGTAAGTGGCAGGTGAGTTGATGTACTTCAGTTGGACGTCTACATGTGATGGCAGGCTTGAAGTCAGAATCTGACACTTCGGCCTATTTACAACTTCATCCACATCTTTACTACGTTGAACACGTCTCAGTCTCATAGTTTTGGTGCACAGGTTAACCCTAGCCAAGATGAGTAAAAAAGTCACTGGAGAGATTTTTTGAAAAGGAGGGAAGGCCCAGTGACAAGACAGCAGAAAATTTAAGACTGCCAGCACCTACTTGAGTTGCATGTTCATCAGCACAAGTCACTCACATTCTCCAAGGCTATTTTTTTTTTTTTTTTTTTTTTGAGACAGGGTCTCGCTGTGCAGTTCAAGCTGGCCTTAAGCTCACTTTTGTAGCCCAGGCTGGCCTCGAACTCCCAACGATCCTCCTGCCTCAGCCTCCCAAGTGCTGGGATTACAGGCATGTGCCACCATGCCAGGCTACTATTTTGTATATGGTATGTAGCAACTGGCTACCATTGGGTAGCCATGAAACCTTCAGAAGAGCATGCTGCATTACAAGACAAGCCTTCGGAGTGTTTTGAAAGGGAAAAAAACCAGAAAATTATTTAAGGCCACCACTAAACGGAAAGCTTTTTTTTTTTTGAGGCACTGTCTCACTATGTAATGCAACCTGGCCTTGAACTTGCTTATGTAGCCCAGACTGGCCTCAAACTCACTGCCATCCTCCTGCCTCAGCCTCAAGAGTGCTGGGATTACGGGTGTGGTTGCTGTAGTGAGATTGTCACTTTCTAACATGGAAAACAAGATTTTTAGTACTTTTGTAAAATACTTCTATTTTATAAAAATCCTCAGCAGTGGGGGTTGGTAGTAACACATTGCACAAAGGAAGAAACTACTGAGGTTAGATGACTCATAGTTACCAACTACAGTAGTATTAGGCTCTCACCTATTCATTTTGATTCTCTCTTGCTCCAGTTTTCTTTTTTTTTTTTTTTTTTAAATGATTACTTTGTTTTTGTTTTTTGGGGGGGAGTTTTTTCCGTTACCGGGAACCGAACTCACGACCTTGCGCTTGCCAGGCAGGTGTGCCGCTGATTTAAATCCCCAGCCCCCAAATAGTAATTTCTGTTTTGTTTTGTTTTTCTTCCGGTACCAGGAATCGAACTCATGACCTTGCACTTGCCAGGCAGGCGCTTTGCCGCTGAGCTAAATCCCCAGCCCAGTTCTCGAACCATATCCCAGGGATTTTTGGAAGGGAAAACCTTGTTCAGTCATCTGTTTCTGGTTGACCAAAATGTGACCTCCAAGGTAGAAAAGATAGGCCTGGAATAGTGGCAGATGACTAGGCGCAGCTACTCTGGAAACTGGGGCAGGAGGATGGTGAGTTCCAGGCCAGCCTGACTAACTTATTAAGACCCTGTCTCAAAAATAAAAAAGGGCTGGGGGTGTAGCTGAGCGGTATAGCGTTTGCCTAGCAAGAGGGAGGCCTTGGCTTCCACCCCTAGGACCTGGGGCGAGGATGGAAGGAAATGTGAGAGGTCGCAAAGAAAGGAAGACTGGAGACAGCCCATGGAGTCCCTCATGCTAGCTGTTACCAGCACATCCATTGGAGGGAAGTGGGGAATATCGTTAGAATTTCTGAGGTTTTCAGTGCAATCATCGTGAAGTACATACTACTGGCCAGGCCCTGGAATGTCCGAAACTCCCTGTCTCACCCAAGACCCGCAGCACTGGCCCTTGTGCCGACAGCTTGGCACCTAGGTCCAGGCACCGGCGGGCGCCGCATTGCCCCGCCCCGCGTACGCCCCAGGGCCAATCGGCGCCCAGGGGCGTTCCCATCCCCCTTCGTCCAGCTCCCCGTAGTGGCTCTCATAGGCTACGGAGGGCGCCCTGCGACCCGGAAGTGGTTCCTCTAGAGGAAGCAGTAGAGCCTGAGAGGGTGGGGTTTGTGGTGTTGCTCCCGGTTTCCCAGTGCTTCTTCCTAAAACTCCGCTGGCAGCGGCCCGTGAGAAAAGTGGCTAGTCTGTCGGAAGCCGCATCAATGACCTCCGTGCTGTCCTACGAAAGCTTGGTCCATGCTGTGGCAGGAGCCGTGGTGAGGCGGGGTCTTCGCTCCAGGGCCGCAGCGGGGCGAGGGGGCTTCCCGGGTGCAGTCCCGGGGTGCGGCTGGGGGATGGGCCGGAGACGGGGACCGCGTGGGTGAGGTCTGTCCAGACTGGGACCCAGAGGAAGGGACCGTAGAAAGTGGCTTAAGAATTTGGGGTGAGGGCCGACACTCACCTTGCGCCCTGCCACCGCTCTGGTCTCCTAGAGACTACTTAAAGACAGCTGTAGTCGCGCATGCCCGAAGGAGTCGGCAGAAAGATCATCGCTGTTTTCTTTGCCTGTTGGAGTTTAAAGCGGGTCATCCCCCAACTCCACCCCCGACCCCCACCGCGCACAAACTTTGCTAAACTGAGCTGGGGCAGAACCTAAGTGTGAGACTGCGTTGCTTAACCTAGCGCTTAATTACAGCCGACTTCACACACTTGCCGCCGTCGGGTTGTAGTACCCGTAGGAATCTCCGGCAGAAAAAGGTCTTTAAAAAAAAGTCCAGATCAGTGTCATTCGCCATCACAGACGCGGTCACTGAGGCAAGTGCTTGGTTTTTGGACTTGTGAGTGTGTAGTTCTATTTGACACACGCGCCCCCTTCTTTGAAATTTTCTGTTTTTGAGTAAATTTCCTTTTCTGGCTGTTTTCTTCTGACTTCTCATATCCTTCGTTCTTGCAGCTGTTGGAGTCACTTTGACTTCAGAGGAACAGCACTGAATCGCCTCCTTTTGGCTCCCAAAAGCTTCGCTGAGAGTTCGTGTTCTGTGTAGACTAAATCTGAGTTGAACTCGAACTCCGTCATTTGTTAACTAAGTGACCTGTGAAGCTCACTTTTTCCTCATCTGTGAAGTGGAAGAAATTATACCTCCCTCATGTGGTTGTTTTGAGAATTAGGTGACGGTATTTTACAGAAGTGATTTATTCAGGAAGTCCAGTTCATTCGATTCCCCCACAAAAGCCTTTCAGGCGGTATAAAGGGATTGAGATGGAGGCTTGATCGACGTGTTTCTGAGGGTCATGGAGGCCTGTGTGTCTGGAGTGGAGGGAACAAAGATGCAAAAAAGGTGTCGAGGGACCAAATTATGGGCCTTTAATTCAGAGCGGGGGAAGAAGCTAGCTGCCGAACTTGCTAATTTAAATTTTAAACACGATCATCCTAGATGCTCTGCTGAGAGTAGGGTATAAAGGAGCAAAAGAGTTGTCAGGCAAGAGATGATCACGTCTTGCACTTTGGTGTTAGTAGAAGAGTTGGTGAGAAGTCACTGTTACCCTTGAATATATTAGAAGCGCCAGGATATAGTGATGGATTTAGTGGTGAATTGCATGTGGGGTGTAAGAGAATGAAGGTTGGTTAACCCCAAGACTTTCTGGCTTGAGCAGCAGGAAGAATGTTACTCCTATTTGTTGAGATACCGAAGCCGGTAAAGGAGCAAGTTTGGGGAAAAGGATGAGCTTGGTTTTAGTTTTGGATTAGTTAAGTTTGAAGTGTCTTAGCATAGTATTGAGACTAAATGTTTAATTCAGCAGGGAAGTGAGCAGGAACAGAAAATTCTCTGTGATTGACCCTTGAAACAGGCCAATATTAAGAGGTTGGGGAAATAAGATCACAAAAGCAAAAGACTAAGGAAGGGCCAGTGCAGTAGGAGGAATAGTCAGTGGGGTTTTTCTTTCTTTTTTTTTTTTTTTTTTGTCAGTGGGGTTTTGAAAGGCAGGTGAAGAAAGTGTTTTGGGAGAAGGATGTAGAGTAGACCAAAAACACTGATAGGTCAAGTAAGGTGAGGACAAGGATTAAGTATTGGATTTATCAACATGAAAAATCCAGTTGACAATTGAGAAGCCCAGTTTTGGTGGAGTGGTAAGCTGAATAGTTTGAGAGTAAGTAAGATAGAATGGGGAGATGGGAAATACTTGCTCTCTTTTCCTTTCATTAAATGCTGTTCACTCAGTACCTTTATTGATGCATTCCATGTGGCATTGCTGTTACAGGGGAAATACTCTGGAGAACAAGTTCTTTCTTTATGAAGTGTGCATTCCCATAAGGGAGTCAGACAATACATAAATTAAACAAAAAATAAGATAATGGTAGCTAGTAAATACTGTAAAATACAAAGGGCTGGTGAACATTTTTCGTAAGGGGGAATATTTTTGGCATTGTGAATGGTGTGTGTCACAGTTTACTGGACACTGCCTGGCATTGTGAAAGCAGCTGTAAACATATAAATGAATGGGTAGAGCTGTGTTTCCATAAAACTCGTTTGTAAATAAAGTAGTTAGTTTTCTGAGTCCTACTATGTAGTGTGACTGTGAGTAGTATTAAAATACCTACAAAGTTAGGTACTTTACCTTTTGCTTATTTTTCTTTTGCTAAATCTCCCCTTGAAATTATTTGCCCTGGATTTGCTGGGTTTTTACCCCTATAAGATACATGAGGTTATTATATATATATAATATATATATATATTTGTATTTGTTTACTTGTTTATTTGTTTGACTTTTTTTTGAGACAGGGTCTCTCTGTGCAGTTCAGGGTGGCTTTGGGCTTATTACGTAGCCCAGACTGGCCTTGAACGCATGGCGATCCTGCTACCTTAGCCTCCCAAGTACTGGAATTACAGGTTTGCACTACCATACGTAGCTTCTAATATATATACTTGTGTAAGAAGAATTTTTTTCTCAAAGCACTATTGTTTTTATTTTATTTTATTGAGAAAAAATTAAACAAAATTTCAAAACAAAATAATAGGAGGGTAACAATGGTTAATGCATTATGTGCTATCTTTAAAGTAGTTACTCAGAGTACAACATATAGGCATTTAATTGTCCAAGCAATATTAGCACAAACAAATTAATAAAACTATTTTAAGTATCTTGTGTGCATATATGTATAGGTGTATATATATATGTGTGTGTATATATATATATATATATATATATATATGTTTGTTTTTGCTTTTTCTCTCCTTTTTTTTGTCTTTTTGATACAGGGTCTCTATGCAGTTCAGGCTGGCCTTGAGCTTACTTTGTAGCCCAGGCTGGCCTTAAACTTGCAACGATCCTCCTGCCTCAGCCTCCTGAGTGCTGGGATAACAGGCATGTACCACCATGCCTGACTTTATCTTCCTTTTTTTCTCCTTTCCCCATCCCAGTTTATTTCCTTTTGAACAGTTTCTTCCCATTTTCCAATATCTGTTGTATATTTTGGATCTTATTAACTCTTTCAACTTCTAACACTAAGGAGACAGTACAATGATTACACATGTGCATCTTGTTTATTTCACTCATGAGTGTGGTCTGGAGCTGCATCCATTTACCAATAAAAGTCTATAGTTTATCCTTCTTTATGGCTGAGTAGTATTCCATGGTATAAAAGGATCACATGTTTTTTATCCATTCCTCAGTTGATGGGTATTTGGGTTGTTTCCAAGATCTAGCTATTACAAATTGTGCTGCTATAAACATGGGTGCACATATATTGCAGTGGTAGGATGTTTTTAATTCTTCTGGGAAGATACCCAGAAGGGAAATAGCTGGATCAAATGGGACCTCCAATCCTAGCTTTTTGAGGAATCACACTGATTTCCACAGTGGTTGCACCAGTCTACACTCCCACCAACAGTGGAAAAGGGTTCCTTTTTCCCCACAGCACTGTCAGTATTTGTTATTGGTTGATTTCTTGATAATAGCCATTCTTTCTGACGTGAGATGGAATCTCAGTGTTGTTTTAATTTGCGTCTTTTGAGTGAACAGTGATGTTGAACATCTTTTCATACATTTATTTGCTGTTTGTATTTTTTCACCTGAGAAGTGTGTATTCATCTCAGATGTCCATTTTTTGGATTGGGTCTTTAAGTTTGGGAGGTCTGATATTTTTGAGTTCTTTATATGTTCTTGATAATAATCCTTTGTCTGAGGAACAGCTGGCAAACATCTTTTCCCACACTGTGGGTTGTTTCTTCACTCTGTTGGTGGCTTCTCCTGTTGCGCAAAAGCTTTTCAGTAAGATAAAATCCCAAGTGTTGATTCTTTGTTCCTGTGTGATCGGGGTTTTCTTCATAAAGTCTTTGCCTACACCAGTGTCTTCAAGAGTTTTACCTATTTTTATTCTATCTTTCAGTAGATTTAGTGTTTCTGTTTTAATATTTAGATCTTTGATATATTTTGAATTTAGTTTAGTGCATGGTGAAAGACATGGGTCTTATTTG